ATTCATGAGTTCTCACTCACTCCTGCATATGTTTGCCCATTTGGGCAAATATATGGTGCTGTAATTTTTCTTCCAAACTCCAGTTCTTGGAGAATGATAAACATAGGATAAAACATTGCTCTAAGATGAACTATGGAAAAGTTCCAAGGATTTGTATGTAATCTCAATCAACATAAAGTGATGATTTTGACAATTTCTTTTATGAATGCTATCAGCAAACTACACACACTCTCTCTCTCTCTCACACACACACACACATTTTCTTTAGAGTTTTAAAAACAAAAAACACATAAGTAGAAGGAAGGAAATAAAAAGATCAGAGTAAGAATCAATGAAATAGAAAACAATCAATGAAATCAATAGAGAAAAACTAATGCAACTGAAAAGCAAGTTCTTTGAGAAGATCAAAAGAATTGATAAACCTCTAGCCAGACTGATACGGAAAAGAAAACAGAGAAGAACCAAATTATCAATATCAGGAATGATATTCTACAGATATTTAAAGGATAACAAGTGGATACTATGAACAACTTTATACCAATAAATATGACAACTGAGATGAAATGTATAAATTTCTTAGGAGACACAAACTACCAAAGCTCACTCAAGAAAAAAAATATGAATGTATCCGTATCTATTAAAGAAACTGAATTTGTAGTTAAAAATCTTCCCTAAGAGAGAACTCCAGGCCCAGATGACTTCACTGGAAATTCAACCAAACATTTAAAGAAGAATTAACACCAAGACTACATAGAATTTTCTAAAGAAAACTGAAAAGGGGGGACTAATTCCCAAGTCATTCCATGATACCATGAATGCTCTAATACAGAAAGCAGATTAAAACATTTTAAAAGACAGAGAGAAAGAGAGAATTACAGCCAATAAATCTCATTAACATAGTTGCAAAGTTCCTTCACGAAATTTTAACAAATGAAATCCAACAATATATAAAATGAGCAATACATCAGAACCAAGTGGGGTTAATCTCAGGAATGAAAGGTTGATCTAATTGAAAAATCAATAAAATTTACCATATTAACAAAAGAAAAAAGAAAAGAAAAGCACACAATAATCGTATACAACAATAATTCCTAATACAAACTTTCAGCAAACTAGGCATAAAAGAACTTCCTCAACCAGATAAAGGGCATCTATGAAAACCAACAGCTAAAATCACACTTAATGGAAAAAGAATGATGCTTTCTCTCAAAGATAGAAGTAAATCAGGAGTATCTGTTCTGGGCTTCCCTGGTGGCGCAGTGGTTGAGAGTCCACCTGCCAATTCAGGGGACACGGGTTCGTGCCCTGGTCCAGGAAGATCCCACATGCCACGGAGCGGCTGGGCCCGTGAGCCATGGCCGCTGAGCCTTGCGCGTCCGGAGCCTGTGCTCCGCAGTGGTAGAGGCCACAACAGTGAGAGGCCCGCGTACCGCAAAAAAAAAAAAAAAAAAAAAAAAAAGTATCTGTTCTCACCACTCTATTCAGCACTGTACTGGAGGTATTAGCCGGTGCCAACTGTCAGGGTTTCAGATTTGATTTTTACCCTACTTACAAGCCAGTAAGTTAGCCTGTTGCTGTTTCATGAATGCTGGCAGGAGACAAGAGACTCCTGGGTCAGAGACAAAGGACTTTATCATTCATGGCACAGCAAGGACATTAGCATCATGTTTGCTTAGATTCCTTCTTTCCCCAAAAGTCCCACAGGGTGACACGGAGGGCTCAGAGAGATGCCTGCACACACAGTGGGTTGCTTACGGAAAAGGAACTGTTGAGCTTAGGTAATATGATTTTCATAGTAAATGGTAAGTAAGCCTGCTCTTTGTTCAGAAGGTGAACATCCCATCATCCCACAAGGCTGCTCAATGCAAACATAACCCTGAGAAGTAACCTGGGTGAAGAGCAGTCACAGCACTGAATTCTTGGCATACCCAGCAAGACATGTAGGAGTGTGAAAGACCCGTGAGGCATGTCTCCCAACAGCAATAAGGCAAGAAAAAGAGATAAAAGGGCTTCCCTGGTGGCACAGTGGTTAAGAATCTGCCTGCTAATGCAGGGGACTCGGGTTCAAGCCCTGGTCCGGGAAGATCCCACATTCTGTGCAACAACTAAGCCCACGTGCTAAACTACCGAAGCCCACACGCCTAGAGCCCGTGCTCCACTGCAGTGAGAAGCCTGCGCACCACAATGAAGAGTAGCCCCACTCACCACAATTAGAGAAAGCCCTCATGCAGCAATGAAGACCCAAAACAGCCATAAAATAAATAAATTGATTAAAAAAATTTTAAAAAGAAAAAGAAATAAAAGGCATCAATATTGAAAAAGGAAGAAGTAAAACAATCTTTATTCACAAACACCACAATAATCTACGTAAGTAATGGTAGAATCTATTAAAAAAAATAAGCTGCTGGAACTAACAGATGAGTATAGTAAAGTGGCAGGATACTAGATCAATATGCAAAAATCCATTGTTTTTGTACCTATCAGAAAGAAACTATTGGAAATTGAAATTTAAAACAATACCATTTATAATAGCATCAAAAAAAACATGAATTACTTGGAAATAAATCTTACTAAAGATATATAAGACCTGTACACTGAAAGCTACAACAAAATACTACCGAGATAAATTTTAGAAGACCTAAATACATGGAGGAATATAGTTTTCTTGGATAAGGGACTCCATTTTTTTAAGATGTCAATTCTTGTAAAGCAATTATACTCCAATAAAGATGTTATAAAGGGCTTCCCTGGTGGCGCTAGTGGTTGAGAGTCCACCTGCCGATGCAAGGGACGTGGGTTCGTGCCCCGGTCTGGGAGGACACCACATGCCGCGGAGCGGCTGGGCCCGTGAGCCATGGCCACTGAGCCTGCGCGTCCGGAGCCTGTGCTCCGCAACGGGAGAGGCCACAGCAGTGAGAGGCCCGCGTACCACAAAAAAAAAAAAAAAAAAAGACGTTTTAAAAAAAAAAGATGTCAATTCGCCCCAAACTGATTTATAGATTTAATATAATCCCAAAGAAAATCTCAGCAGGCCTTTTTGTAGAAACTGAGCTGAGTCTAAAATTCATATGGAATTGCAAAGAACCTAGAATCACTAAAACAACTTTGAAAAAGAACAAAGTTAGAGGACTCACACCATCTGATTTCAAGTCTTACTATAACAGCCTCAGTAATCAAGACCGTGTGAGAGCAGCGTAAGGATAGACAAATAGACCAAAGGGAAAGGATTAAAGGGACCAGAGTCCAGAAATAGACCAACATTTATGTGAACAACTGATCTTCAACAAAAGTGAAAGCCAGTTCACTGGGGAAATGACAGTCTTTCAAACAAATGATACTTGAACAAGTAAAAATACTATACATAATGGGAAAAAAAAAACTGATCCACATATTGCTTCATACACAAAAATTACCTCAAAATGGATCATAGACCTAAATGTATAACTCAGAGCTATAAAAACTCCTAGAAGACATAGAACATAGAACATCTGTGACCTTAGGTTAATCAAGGATTTATTCAATATGATACCAGAATGATACATAAAAATTATCCATACTGATAAATTGAACTTCATCAAAATTTAAAACTTCCACTCTTTGAAAAGCACTGTAAAGGAAATGAAAAAAGAAGCCACAGACTGAGAGAAAATATGTACAAATCACATATATGATAAAGGGTTTGTATTCAGAATATATGAAGAACTCTTAAGAAAACAACTCAATTTTTTAAATGGCAAAAAATTTGAACTGACACTTGAACCAAAAAGATATATGACAGCAGACAAGCAGATAAAAAGATGCTCAACATCTTTAGTCATTAGGGAAATGCAAATTGAAACTACAAATGAGAAAGCACTACAAATTTATTAAAATGGCTAAAAATTAAAACGCTGACCATGCCAGTGTTGGGAGGATGTGGAGGAACTGGAACTCTTACACAATGTTGGTGGCAACGTGAAGGGGTACAACCACTTGGGAAAACAATTTAGCTGCTTCTTAAAAAGTTTACATACATATTTACACTATATACATCCATACACTTACGTACATACAATTCAGCCACTCCACTCCTAGATATTTACCCACAGGAAATAAAAGCCAATGTCCAATCAAAGACTTGTAAATAAATGTTCATTGCACCTTTGCTTGTCGGCCAAAAACTGGAAACAACACAAATGTCCATCAGTGGGTGATGGATAAACAAACTGTGACGTAGTCATACAATGGAACACTACTCAGCAATAAAAAGGAATGAGCTATTGAGACATGCAACAAAATTAATCAGTTTCAAAATAATTACACTGGCTAAAAGAAGGCAGACAATCAACAGTACACATACTGTATGATTCCACTCATATGAATTTTCAGAAAATGCAAACTAATCTATAGTGGCTGAGAGTAGATGCCAATAGATGATTACGAATGAGGAGGGGCAAGAAGGAATGTTTACTAAGATGCCTGAGAAAACCTTGAAGTGTTAAGTATGTTCAACATCTTGACTGTGGTAATGGTTTCATGGGTCTACATGTCAAAACTTATCAAACTGTACACTTTAGTTGGCTGCCTGTTACTTATAGTTCAATAAAGCTGTTGTTAAAATCTACAGTTTATTAATACCAAAAGATTCACTTATCACTCTACTCCCAGAAAGATCTTACAGATCACTGTAGAATAGTTATGAAATTTTACTGCTATAACTTGTACAACATCTCTAAGGAACAGTACTCTCATGTTTACATGGCCAGGTAACATAAGAGCTAACTGTTCTTTTCAAATTGAGTTATGGAGAACGTGTTTCCCTTATCACAAATTCCCGACCCCCTCCCACCTAGCCCCTGTTCAGTCTCTCATGCAGAAACTTCCATTTTCCCCTACCTTGTTTTTCCACATTATCTCAAGAAACTTTCAATAGTGAACCAAATAGAAGGTATTAGCTGGTTTCAGAAACTCAAGAAAGGTTCTGACCTTGCAGTAATGACAAACAGGTTATTCACACCCACCTGAGTTGGCTTGCTGCACAGGACACCGTGAATCTCCAGGTAGCTGAAGGTTACCTCGAGCTGCAATTGAGGGAGGAGGGGGAAATAAAGACCTGTAATGAGGGTTTTAAAACCTATAATTCAAAGTAAAAATGCTACAATTAGAAACAGTCCAGTGCAAACAAAACATTGGGCATCTTCTGAAGGTAGGCTGGTTTAATATCTCCATACATTCAATACAACATGACCTTGATCTATCATATTTCAGGAAAAGCATTATTCACTTTCCCAAAGGGCTGAAAGGAAACTCCAAGTCTGACTTTTTAAATTTCATCCAAGGACAAACCCAATGGAAAGTTTCTGTACTTCTACTCCAGTATTTATTTACTGAGAAATGAATATATGAAGGGAGCCATCTAAATAGACCTTTTTTTCTCTTATTTCAAGATGTTGCTTCAGCAAATCAGATCAGGATAGAGACAGTGTTTGTTTTCCCTTCTCTCTAAACCCTTACCTCTTTGGGTTACCCTCTGACCACTTACTGGAGTCATCTTTCCTTCCACTGCCTTTCATTAAAGTTCATATTTTGAATGGATTTAAAAGAATATAATATTTAGGAATTTTAATCTGTGTTTCAATGAAACACACATAGTTAAATAAAAGTCTTCTCTCTCTCCCTGTGTATATACATAAATGATGATTTATTTCCCTTCCATTTTAATAACAAGTGTCCCTTCCTCGCTTCTCCTGTAATTAGCATTTCTTTTGCTTCAAAATACTTCTAGTCTCACACTCATTGCCTATTTTTCCTGGAAAATAGCCACTAGTCTTTCTCCCAGTTTTTCAGTCTCTCATCTCAGTACAGTCACAGGGCCTGGTACTAAAGATAATGAAGAACTGAGTTGGACCAGTTTATTTTACCCTCTCGCCTTAAAACTAGAAATGTGGGGACTTCCCTGGTGGCGCAGTGGTTAAGAATCCGCCTGCCAATGCAAGGGACACGGGTTCGAGCCCTGGTCTGGGAAGATCCCACATGCCATGGAGCAACTAAGCCCGTGCGCTGCAACTACTGAGCCTGTGCTCTAGAGCCCGCGAGCCACAACTACTGAGCCCACGTGCCACAACTACTGAAGCCCACGCGCCTAGAGCCCGTGCTCTGCAACAAGAGAAGCCACCGCAATGAGAAGCCTGCTTGCCGCAACTAGAGAAAGCCCATGCGCAGCAACGAAGGCCCAACACAGCCAAAAATAAATAAATAAAATAAATTTATTAAAAAAAAAAAAAACTAGCAATGTAATGGAAAAAGAACCCATTCAGAACCAAACCCATAGGACCCTTAGTTCTGCCTGCTGGTGTTATGTTGTACCTTTACACATTTGGTTAGATACATTTTAGAACAGAGAACCCCTGAATCCCCAGTATGGTGATGAGGGCTGGAGGTAGAAAGATAATTCATTCTTTCGTCATTCACACAGCCAACGAGTAGAATTTATGCAAGGCCTACTGTGTGCCAGGACTGGAAAGAGGAATGAGACATTTATCGTGTCCTCCCATGGTTACATGTAGCATCGGGGGCACATTTTAAACATTCCATTAGAGTGGACGTCTTCTTACTTATCATTATCAAGATCTATACTTGGTGGATTTTGTAAAGTCATTTCAAGCAGGGAATCATTTTCTAAAAACAGTACCTCTCTACCTTCATTTATTTCAAATTAAAACTTATAAACATATTTTCATCTGCTAGCCTTGGACACAGCGCCAAATTTTCTTCTTTGAGTCAAGTCCCATTGTCAGGCCCTCCAGTGGCATTTCCTCTGTGGACCACACCCGTAAATGCAGGACACACGACTTCCAACTGAAGTTCTTTAAAATGGAGTGAGAGCTTGAAGACACTGGGAAAGCAATGTGAGGGCATAAGTTCTCTAGATTATTATGTTCCCCAGCCCCCCAGCCTTTAACAGTTGTCCAGTCCTTAACAAGACAGCAATTTTTTAAAGTGAATTATTTTACCAACATTCAGTATTTCACAGATACTCTCTCCTTTTGCAGCCTATTTCATTGATATGTAAAATATCTTTTTAAAATTTTACTATTGTAATTATAACTGCTATGAATAGGTTTGGAAGCAAACCACTGACCCTTGGTGGGCATCTCATACAACTGGTGGGAACAGGTGTAAACAGCTACACTCTCTTATAACCTAGCGGCTCTGAAGATGCAGCTGGCATCAGTCAGTGTATCAGGACTAGCATGGGCAGCTTTGGTCAATTTGGCTGGGGGAGGTTAGTTGGAGGTCAGTTAAGATGCTTCTGCTGCACCTCAGTGCTGTCCCTGGAATAAGCAAAGTGCCAGGGAACCAGGAAAGCACTGAGACATTCCAGCTAGGCCCTGAAGAATGACTTCAAGTGTGTCAAACAAAGGAGTAAAAAGGGAAATCCAGGCAGAAGAAGAAGAATTTGCAAAGGCAGAGAGGCATTCAAAGAACAAGGGCAAGACAGAAACGAGTAGACCCTGCAGTGTCAGGGATGCGTAAGGGGGACAGGCTGAGTATGCGATTCATCGGAGCCCTGGTTCTTATCAATGGTGAGAAGGGGAGACATGGAGACACACTGACCGACATCACAGCAAGTTTCAAGCCATTCTCTCTAATCTCACCCATGGCTCTTTTTAACAGGCCTTTATTCTCAGCTCCCACCACTGACCCTCCTGACTCCAGCCCACCCGGAAGACAGTTTAAAGAATGTCACTGGGCAGGAGGGGGCAGGGGGACTAGTTAGGAAGCTGAGACACAGGCAGGCTGCAGGAAGACCTGAGGACATCTTTAAGAGAGAACCACAGGGCCTCCCTGGTGGCGCAGTGCTTGAGAATCCGTCTGCCGATGCAGGGGACACGGGTTCGTGCCCCGGTCTGGGAGGATCCCATGTGCCACGGAGCGGCTGGGCCCGTGAGACATGGCTGCTAAGCCTGCGCGTCTGGAGCCTGTGCTCCGCAACGGGAGAGGCCACAACAGTGGGAGGCCCGTGTACCGCAAAAAAAAAAAAAAGAGAGAGAGAGAGAGAGAACCACAGATACAAGTGATCAGTTAGATAAGAGGAAGGAATCATCCAAGGCCCACCTCTACCCTCAGCAAGACAGTCCCCACCCAACAGGCAACAGAGCGAATCTAAATGTGATTATGTGATGCTCCTTCGGGAACTCCAAGTGTTCCACATGCAGCAACCCATGTCACGATTGCCCCTCTTTCTGACCAATTTCCCGAGGTCCACAGCCTCCTACTCAGTCCTGGGCCCACATCTCAGCTCCCTAAACACACTGTGCTCTTGCAAACTGCTAAACCTCTGACCAGCAGGAGACCCCTTTATCTGCCTGGTTGACGCAGGCTGATCCTGCAGCCCAGCTTCTCTGTAGACCCTTCCCTGATTTGACAATCACCCGCCCCCCTCATCCCCCCTTCTGGAGGGAATGGCAAAGTTCTATTTCTTCATCTGCGTGTGACTGCAGAGGTATCTGCTTTGCAATTAATCACGGTGATATACATTTCTATTTTGTGCATTTGACTACGTATGTGGTACATTCAACAATAAAAGGACAAAAGAAGAAAATGTTTAATTAATCAGCCCCCAAAGAAAAGAGAAGAAACCTATGTGAAAATCGGGGCTGTTGTACGCTACTGTTCTGAATATAATTATTTCCCCAGAAAAATGTCATTGACACCGGTTCTGCTTCTTAGCCAAGGTGCGCTGAGACACATGAAAACCAGCCTTCTGCCGGCAGGTCACTTTGGAAGAAGATCTGCCTTTATTTGTGATGCTGACAATATCAGAAATCAGCACCAATGTCCAAACTACCCTAGCCAGGCCGATGTGAGATGTTATATACATCTTGGGATGAAGCTGGGCCTTCCCTCAGGGGCAGAGCAAGGAGGGGGCAACAGAAGGGAGGCAGATGACTTCCCAAGAGGTAATACACCTTCTGCTGTGTCAAAACATTTTTAATTAGGGTAAACATATCTTTCAGGAGCCTTCTACTCAATAGGCTGCTTGACTATTTTCTCAAGCCCATAAAATTTCCTTCCACAATTAATTTTTCACCAGTGGGATAATGGTTAACACTTCCTTATATCCTGCCTTCGGGTACTTTAGCATATCGGTAATTTAGTCCAACACCATTTATATAATGACTGATTTCACTTATAACACATTATAAGCATAAAGACTCACTTTATATTATCAAAAGGGGTGGGCTAATATAAAGCCTCATTCCTCGGAGAAACTTTATAAAATTTAGCATTTGTATGATCAGAAAGAAAAAAGGCAGTATGGCCTTTGACTAGCAAACAGTGGGTTGGTACCTTCTCAAAGTTCAACAAAAATCATGCAAATCATTAGTTTGTCAGTCCTACCAGGTCCACTGCATTACAGCACCGTGTCCAGCACATAAGTAGGTATTCACAAGACAGTGGCTAAATGTTGTATTTTAAGAAGAAAGGACTGAGAAAATGAGCAAATAACACTGCAGCGCAAACATAGGAGCAAGGCTGAAAGCGTCTCCCAAACCTTCCCCATTTTCCTGGGTTTGTGGGCAGGTGAGTTCATATCCTATAAAATCAGTCAACACCTTTCTGTTACCATAAAGAAAATAAAAGAAGCAATTATGATGCCTAATTCATGAGCTATCAGTTCAAATGTTAATTTGCACCCTATACCCAAGGACATCTTATGGAAAATGTTAGATCTTTTAAAGAACCAAGTGGCACCATGTTATTTTTTATAGACAACACCAGAGTCTGCCCATGAAAGAGGGCTAGGTGGCTACATTCCCGGTAATGCACTCTGTAGAGTTATGAAGGTTATTTCCCACGTGTCAAAGCCTTAGAAAAATGGGCCGTTACTGGACCCAAAGAAATAAGAACTAGACTTGAAGAAAGTGTAAACCCTGCCCCAGCTGAGAGAGAAAAATAACTGAAATCCACAAGCCTCGGGGATATGGAACATGAAATGCTTCGCCACTTTTCTTGGGATGCCTTTAACACAGAGAGGGAACAAAGGAGGAAACGTTTAGGTGCTTTCTGGGGAGAAGGAAGTTCTCTTTGCTCTGCAAAGAGAACTCTGGACACATTGGCCTAAATCATAAGTCTACGCAATTGAGGAGCGAATGCATTTTGCAGAGTGTGTGTGTGTGTGTGTGTGTGTGTGTGTGTGTGTGTGTGTGTGTTGGAAGGAGGAAACTCTTCAACACTTACCTTGGTGGGGATTCGTGCTGTGACAAGGAAGGCTCGGCATGATGTAAGCACCTGTAAGACAGAAGCAGCCACATCAGTATAAGTACCGAAAAGTGAGCTGGTGGGCTTTGGTGTGACCCGCAGGACTTTAATGATACTGAAGCCTCGAGAGGCTTGGTTCCTGACATGAAAGAAGAATAAGTGACCTGGGAGAGCTTGTTGGCCTTGTAGGATTATTAGCTGTACTCTTAAGAATCACTGTATGAAGAGCCGTATCAAACAAATCACCTGCAAAATCCCAAGACGAGCAACCAGTCAGCAGCCCAAAGGAGCCACAGATTACTCCAGTTGAGTAAGCAAGACAGGTGTCTGAGATATTAAAATACAGATACCTTATCCATAGGAGGAGCCTCACTATATCCACAGCAAACAATGAAGAAGCCAAGTACTCATTCACACTTTCCAAATTACAACCGCCACCCACGTTTGCCCTCTTGCCTCCTGTTCTCTGTCCACTGGCCGATAACATTTACATAACGCACAGGCAGCAGCACAGGCTACTCTCCCAAGAAGTCAACCCCGACTTGCTTCTCAGCTATGCCTCTCTCAGTCCTAGAGAGAACATTTATCAATTCCAGTTCTCAGCTAAGAACATATAGATAGGCCATGGGGTCCCATATGCCTATAGGCACCTCTTGCCCAGCAGGGGCCCTTGTGAATACAAAGGGGCTGGAACTAGTCTGAACTCCTAGTTCCTACCTGGAGCAGAGATCCCAGTCTATCAACCTTAATGTCTAAACATGCCACTCTGCAACCCGCAGGTCCGGGCAGGCCTCGGGGGCCTTTGCAATAAAGAAGGCGGACTCCAGCACTTCTCAAGTTCTGATGGGAGACCTGTCTTTGATTTTCCAAACAACTTGCTTGTCACTAAGTTGATATTTAGCAGATGATACGTATGTGCTAGTCTAAGAATGCTAGATTTAAACACAACTTGAGAAATCATAAGTCAAGGACACTGAGGCCCAAGTTGCTACAGCATTTATCCAGATTCAAGCCAGGACTCATCCTGTTCATTCACACACAGAAGGTGAGTCCATGGGTGTGCCTGTAGCCTGCTCTGTGCCTCTCTTTAGGCTCCCAACTCTAAACAGAAACAGTATATTTTCTAGATAACTCTTCTTTGAATAATCAGAGGTCACTGCTACTGGGAATAACTCAAGTCAGGACCCTTTATGAAACAGATGATAAAGAGAGGTAGCCCAACACTGGCTGGGAGAGTCTGATAAGGAGCAAAGGGAAGGCAGAGAGGGAGGGGCACAGCCCATTGAAGACTTTCCACCCAGATGCCTTCAATCACAGTTATTCAGGGGATCCTTTTCCACCTGCGTTCATTTTTGCTACTTGACTTTAGAGGTGATGTGCTCTAAAAGACCATCATTAATAAGTGACTTCTAAAAGTGGAGTCAACAAAAGACATCTATATTTGAATATTCTTAGGCCATGAACCACAGTTCTTTTCCCAGAGGAATGATCCTTACTTTTTTTTACTCAGGCCCTTCAGAGACGGGGCGGGGGGGAGCAACAAGCAATAGAGAGGGGAGAGGTGTGTAAGAAGTGGGGTCAGATGAGTGAGTAGCCCAGAAGTAGCAGGACTGGCTACATAAACTGCAGGGCCCTTTGTTCAAAAATTATGAACAATTTTAAAGACAGTGACAGAAAGCATTTACCCAAGCGTAGGGCCCTTCTGAGAGCAGTGCCCTGTATGCCTGTACAGGTCACATGGCCATGAAGCCAGCCCTGAGTAGTAGCTACCATTTATCAAGTGTTCCCTATGTGCCATAAATGGGCAAACATCCTTGGATGCACTGATTCATTTAATCTTCCCAACAACCATATTCTCTATCATTATTACCCCCATTTCACAGATGAATAAACAGATTCTGTGATATAACCCAAGGGCAGGAGTAGGGTTCACGTCTGTCAACTCCAAAGCCTATGCTCTTCACCATTAAGCTACCTTTACACATTCTAACCCAACCTTGCCTCCTGGTCTCTAGCCCCTGGCAGTTCAGTTAGATTTGGGGTAGAAGGGTGAGAGTCCAGGGCCACCTGTGACTGGGAAGGGATTCACAAAGCTCCCAGCTCAAACAGTATCTTCCTCAACATCCCAGTAGTTTAAAAGATTCTCTTTTCAAATCCAAGAATGGCCCGGAGAGCTAAATTTTTCAAGTCATCTACACTAGCCAAACCTTGACTAAGACAGCAGTACCCAGGGAGGCTGAGTTTGGCTGCCTTTGGGGAAAAGGCAAGAGGCAGTTTTGTTGCGTGAGACACATAGGGTTCAGTGGTGAACATCAGACAGCCAGAAGAGGCCTGACAGTAATAGAAAGGGAGATAAAAGGGGGCCAGAGACAGGCATGGCCGGTGTTCTCATTTGCTTAGGTCTGGCAAACAGGTTACCTGTGACTAAGTTACAAGATCAGGACTCATCTTAAAAGATGAAAAATTTGCCTTCTCTGAACTAAGACCTTGTCCCACAGTACATTTTTTTAAATTGAAGTTTAGTTGATTCACAATATTGTGTTAGTTTCAGGTGTGCAGCACAGTGATTCAGTATTTTTGCAGATTATACGCCATTATAGATTATCACAAGATAGTGAGTATAACTCCCTGTACTATACAGTATATACTTGTTGCTTATCTATTTTATATACAGTAATTTGTATCTGCTAATCCCATACCCCTAATTTGTCCCTCCCCACTTCCCTCTCCTCTTTGGTAACCACAAGCTTGCTTTCTATATCTGTGAATTGGCTTCTGTTTTGCATATACATTCATTTGTATTACTTTTTAGATTCCACATCTAAGTGATATCATTCAGCATTTGTCTTTCTCTGTCTGACTTATTTCACTAAGCATAATATTCTCTAGGTCCATCCACGTTGCTGCCAATTTCATTCTGTTTTACCGCTGAATAATATTCCATTCCACGGCACATCTTGATGTGGCACCCTTTCAAACACTGCTCCTCCTCCAGGGGAAAAGGAAAAAAGAAAAAGAAGGAAATAATGCTGACAGTCGTGATGACCAACATGGCTATAGGAAGCCAGACTCCTCACCTCTTTACATATGGTTGACCCTTGACCAACTTGGGGCTCAGTCTGCATATAACTTAGAGTGGGCCCTCCATACCCACAGTTCGGCCACAGCTGAGGATTCAACCAACCACAAACCATCTAGTAAGTACTATAGTCTTTAGTACTGAAAAATATCTGCATAAAAGTGGATCTATGCAGTTCAAACTCGTGTTATTCAAGGGTCAATGGTACAATGGCCGCACACACGTTTCTTTCTTCCAGGGGTACTTGTATGATCAATCCCTGATTTTTCAAGAATCTTAAGTCCACAAAACCTTTACACAGAGGTAAAATAAGAGTCAAATCATAAAACTCACATGCCAGAGAGGACTCAATATCAATCACCTAGTGAAAGACCCCCTTAGGGTTTATAATCTGAGAGCAGATCCAAAGAAACTCATCTCATAGATAGTTTGTGCCGAAGCTGGACTAGAAGAGGCAACTCCTTATTCCCAGTGTATTACCTTTTCACTCTCTCCTCAAACAGCAATAAGGGTCAATGCCAAAAGCCCCAGACAGGAACACATAGCCTCTTCAGTAGCCAGAAAAATATGTTTAGCTCTGTGAACATTCCCTCAAAGGAAAATTGGTCCTACAACATCCAGGATCATTTTACAAGCATAGTAGTAATACCAGTCAATACATGTCGGGTACCATGTTCTCATAGGTTTCCATACATCATCTCCTTTAATCCTCACAGCAGTCTATGGGCTAGATACTATTATTAATCTCATTTTAAGAAGAAGAAACTGAGACACACAGAGAGTACATTACTTGCCCACGTCACCTAGCAAGTAGGTGGCAGAGCTGGGATTCAAACCCAGATAGATGGTCTGGCCCCAAAGATTGTGCTAATTACTTATAAGGGCTCTCAAATCTCACCTGTCCAAGAACGAGCTTCCTCAATAGTGTGCACACAAGCAAACACATATGAGTCATAGAGCTTTAAAGCCAGAAAGAAGCAAACAGGTAAAAGCATCATCAATAAGATGATGGATATTTGCATATCATAAGAACAAGGACCAGTATCTACTGTCTGTCCAGACCAGTGTCTGTCTGTCTCTGTTTCTCTCTGATCACAGGTTAATCTCTGTGAGTGTCTATTTGAATCTGTCTACTTGATTCTACATGTGTATCTCTCAGCTTATCTGTGTCTCTCCTTGCCTGTTCCCCACCTCTCCCTCCAATCCCTTCTCTCTGCTATGTATGGCCTCCGCCATCCCCACCATGCCCCAACCCATCTTCTCATTCTCTTTTCCCTCCTCTGGCTCCCCACCCCCTTCACTCTGCCCCCATTTCCCAGTGCTTTCTCTCTGCTAATCACTGAGAGCTTGTATCTTATTTATGCCCATTGCAAAACAACAGGCACCCATCACAGAAGAAATACTGCGTTCTCAAAGAGTATTTCATTTGGAACATAGTCACAGAGAAACTTGAAAAAACCATGAAATAAAAATGACAAGACACCTTTTGACATTATTATACAACGAGCACATCAGTAATTAAGTGATTACAAGGTCCCCTGGGTGAATCTAGTTACTAAAAACTAATCTCAGGGCTTCCCTGGTGGCGCAGTGATTGAGAGTTCACCTGCCGGTGCAGGGGACACGGGTTCGTGCCCCGGTCCGGGAGGATCCCACATGCCGCGGAGCGGCTGGGCCCGTGAGCCATGGCCACTGAGCCTGTGCGTCCGGAGCCTATGCTCCGCAACGGGAGAGGCCACAACAGTGAGAGGCCCGCGTACCGCAAAAAAAAAAAAAAAAAAAACTAATCTCAAAACAGGCACCCACATAACTGACACACAGCAGCAATCTCCAGCACGAGGCGCAGGCTGGCCTTTCCGCCCATTTACAAGTGTCACGTTTTGCAGAATAACATCTCCCACAAGCAGCCAAGGCATCAGGTGACCTACCTGACTTCTCTTGATCTGCCCTC